TGAGCGGGGCACCGGGGCGGGAACAGGGGGGCGCCTGGCCCGGGGAGCAGGCGCCGTGTGCGGGCCCGCCCCTGGGCACCGGGGACCGGACACCGGGCACCGGGCCCCTGCACTGTGCACGGGCCCTGGCACCGGGTCACTGCACCGTGTATGGGCTGTGGCACTGCGTACCAGGGTTCCAGCACCGTGCACAGAGGCCCAGCACCGCGCACCGGGGCCCAGCACCGTTCACTGGGGCCCAGCAGAGCAGGCGCCGTGTGCGGGCCCGCCCCTGGGCACCGGGGACCGGACACCGGGCACCGGGCCCCTGCACTGTGCACGGGCCCTGGCACCGGGTCACTGCACCGTGTATGGGCTGTGGCACTGCGTACCAGGGTTCCAGCACCGTGCACAGAGGCCCAGCACCGCGCACCGGGGCCCAGCACCGTTCACTGGGGCCCAGCACCGTTCACTGGGGCTCAGCACCATGCACGGGCCCAGCACCGTGGAGCGGGGCCCAGCACCGTGCATCGGGGCCCAGCTCTGTGCACCGGGGCCCAGCTCCGTGCACAGAGGCCCAGCACCGTGCACCGGGGTGCCTGGACCATGCATCGGGTCCCAGCACCGTGCACCGGCCCGGCACAGGATGGTCACTGGGCGGCACCTGCCCTGCTCAGGATGGCACCGGGAACTCCCCGTGAGCCCCGGTCCCAAGCCCCCACGGGTGACATCCCGCTGGCTGCCGGTGACCGCTGGCACACGCCCGCCACCCTGAAGGTCGCCTTAAAATAGCGCGGCACCGTGGCAGCAGCCAGGCCGCACCAGAGGGCAGGCGGGGGGGGCCTCACCGCGTTGCAGGCAGCCGATTGCCTAACGGGGCGGGGGCAGGGGCTCCGTTCCAGTACCTGGCCGTGCAGAAGACGGGGGTGCGGCAGAGCGTGGGCCTGATCCAACTGAACCGGCCGCAGGCGCTCAACGCCCTCTGCCAGGGGCTGATGGAGGAGCTGCGGCAGGCGCTGGAGGCCCTGGAGAATGACCCACAGGTGGGGGCCATCGTCATCACCGGCAGCCAAAAAGCCTTCGCAGGTAGGGCAGGGTGCCTCTCCCCACCCCAGATATTTTGGGGGGGGTTCGGTGTCCCACCCCGTTTCCCTTTGCAGCTGGCGCGGACATCAAGGAGATGCAGAACAAAACCTTCCAGGAGTGCTACAGCAGCGGCTTCCTCACCGGTTGGGACAAGGTCTCCACCGTCCGCAAACCCATCATCGCCGCTGTCAATGGCTACGCCGTGAGTCCTCCCCCACTTCTCCCCGCGCCCCCTGGTTCAGCCCCGGCCACCCCCTGACCCCCCTCTTCCTCTCCTGTCCTAGCTGGGTGGCGGCTGTGAGCTGGCCATGATGTGCGACATCATCTACGCTGGGGAGAAGGCACAGTTCGGGCAACCCGAAATCCTGCTGGGGACCATCCCAGGTGAGTGGGGGGCACCCGCCAAGGGAGGTCCATCCCAGCTGGAGCGGGGACAGCGGGGACACCCAGGTATCCCTCTCTGGACCTTTCCCTTCCCCAAATGACTCCAGGTGCCGGAGGGACGCAGAGGTTGACCAGGGCGGTGGGGAAGTCGCTGGCGATGGAGATGGTCCTCACTGGGGACCGGATTTCGGCAGCAGAGGCGAAGGAGGCAGGTAGGGGCGTGGGCCAGCCCCAGCACTGCGGGGGTCCAGTGGGGAGCCGTCCCCCCACCCCACCACCTGCCACCGTCCATCCTAGGTCTGGTCAGCAAGGTCTTCCCTGTGGAGAAGCTGCTGGACGCGGCCATCGCCTGCGCTGAGAAGATCGCCAGCAACTCCAAGCTCGTGGCTGCCATGGCAAAGGAGTCAGTCAATGCTGGTAGGGGCTGGGGGCCCAACTGGGAACTTCCGCGGGGGGGCTGCGGGGCCAGGCAGCGGGGTCTCCCCAACTTCTCCCTTGCTCTCAGCCTTCGAGACAACGCTGGCGGAGGGGAACAGGACGGAGAAGCGGCTTTTTTACGCCACCTTCGCCACTGTGAGTAGGGGGGTCAGCCCCATTGCAGGAGGGGATGGCAGGGCTGCTGCCCCTGCCCAGCCTCACCTCTTCACTCCTCACAGGGCGACCGCAAGGAGGGGATGACGGCGTTCGTGGAGAAGCGCAAGGCAAACTTCACCGACAGCTAAGCCTGGGGTGGTGCAGGTCCCTGCGGCCGCCTGCTGCCCGTTGGCCCCCTGCATCACCCCACGGAGGGGGTCTGGGACCCGGTGGCGAGTGATACCTGCCTGGGGTGAGACAACCAGCAGCAGGGACCACCTTTGCCATCGCTATTAAAGGTTTTCCTGGCGCTGCCGGGAGATGGGGTGTCCTTGCTGTGGGGTCCCCCCTGAGCTGGGAAATGTTGGGGTTCACTGAGACCCCCCCACTCCATCACACTGCTCTCCAACACTGGGCTGGGCAAGAGCAGGCTCATGGAGCAATAGGTCCGTGTGTCCCCTGGGGAGGGGACAGCCTGCGGCACCTTCTTGGGCATAACACCAATGCACTGAGTTTGCCCAGCCTCAGCTCCACCTGGGCTGAACTGAGGCCGGCGTGATGGGCTGAGTCCCCCACCCCGAGGCATCATCCTCACCCTGCTTGGGGTCTCGGGGGGAGCCCAAGGAGGGGATCCCCCAGATGTGGGGGCCCTGCACTTAAGCAATAGGTTTCTGGCAGCAATGAGGAGCCCACCAGGACGTTGTGGAGGGAATGGGTTTATTGTGGGAGCTCAAGGGTGGGTAGGGAGGGACAACTCCCCTCAGGAAGCCCCAGGAGTGGCTTCCACCCCTCGTTTCACAGCCCAGGCATGTCTCCACTCAGCTGTGGTGGAGATGGTCACGGTCCTCCTCCGGGCCGCTCTGCACTTCCAGGGAAAGCATCTGGGGTGGCCCACGGGCATCGGCCTCCCTGGCATCATCCTGGGGGTGGTGGAGGTGGTCGCGGTCCTCCTCTGGTCCCACCTGGGCTTGGCGGGGGCCCCATCGAGCCCAGGCGCTGCTGGAGAAGACCTTTATACCTGGTTTCACCTCTTCGGTGATCTCGCCCTTCTCCGACAGCTCCACGGCTCGTATGCCCAGGATGCTGGAAGAAGGGAGAGAAGACAGCAAGGAAAGGTCGCAGTGCATCAGGGTTACTAAATATTCCCCTGCCCCAGGGGAATCCCACTCCATCGGGGTGCAGGGGCCCTGGCGAGACCCCGCCCCAGGAGGCTGCAATTAGGATCTCAGGGAGCAAACAGGCTAATTTAGCCACTCATCCCGCAAATGGGCTGGATGGGTTCGGGACATGAGCACTGCAGCACCCGCAGTTCCCCACTGCCGCCAGCAAAGAGAAACCAGCTGGGGCTCGATGCTCAGTTTGGGTGATTTTGGGGGAAGACGGAGCTGAGAGCCCCTTAATTTTGGGGGGATGCAAAGCAACGAGGGAAATTTTTTCCCCCCGTGAAACGCTTTGCATTTTGGGGTGCTGCTTTGTTGGCTTTTACAAGCCAGATGTGGGTGCGCAAAGGTGCAGGGAGCGCGACTGCCTCTTACATTTCCTTGGCCAAATCCTGCTCCACGTTCAGGTCCTGATGTCTGGTGTTGCTCAGAGCCTACGGGGAGAGAGGAGGGTGCCAGGGGGGTGGCACAGATCATGCGTGGATCTCCCTGTGCCCACTTGTCACATGGGGCAGCGGGAGGGCGAGGCTGAGAGTGGGGCTCACCTGGGTGCCCCCGGGGGCAGGCAGGAGGAGGGCGGCGCCCAGCAGGATGGTGATGCTGCAGAGCCGCATGGCCGTGGGGCTGGCAGAGAGATGGCAGAGGAGCCACGCTGGCAGTAGCTGTTGGCTGGTGCCAGCCTGCACCCAGAGCACCTGCCTGCACCCTGCACCCACAGCTCCTGCCTGCCTCTGTCTGTGCCCGCATCTGCCTGTGCCCAGAGTGCCTGCCTGTATCCTGCACTGAGCAGCTGCCTTCACCCTGCACTCACAGTGCCCACCGGTGCCCACAGTACCTGCCTGCACCCGCAACTCCTGCCTGTGCCTGCCTCCACCCACGGTTCCTGCCTATGCCCATAGTCCCTACCTGTACCCCATGACTGCACCCACACCTCCTTCCTGACCCCCAAGCGCACACCCGTACCCATGCTGCCTGCCCCCCCTGCCCTCCAGTGCTGTACCACTCCATGGCTGCCTTCTGCACGTCACTCGGCCTTTGCCCTGCACTTTACCCACAGGCAGGTGCGGCCGCTCCCAGGTCCACCCGTCCCATGCGTCCTGCGTGGCACTGGGTGGGGCCCCCCTACGCACTGGGGTGCGTGTTCCCCCGTGCAGCTGGGCACATGCAATCCCCAGGCACTGGGGCACATGCAATCCCCATGCACCTAGGTGTTTACATCCCCCGTGCACCCAGGGACGTGCATCCCCCATGCACTGGGGCGCCTGCAATCCCCGTGCACCAGAGCACGTGCGTCTCCCCATGCACCAAGGCTCATGCATCCCCATATTTGACAATAAAGCAAACAAACAGCCACGTTTCTGATCTCTGAATAAATGAACTGTGACTAAATGCACTCTGCAAGCAGTGAGCAGAAGCAGGGACCAGCGCAAAGCCTCTTCAGAGCTGACATTCACAGAGTTTTGCTGTGTTACATAAATAAGGCTTATTAGAGCACAACCGGGCCCTTGCAAGCAGTGGATGTCAGAGGGGAGGAAGATGGCCTCCAGGCAGCCTTAGTTCATAGGGTGCTTTGGGTTGGAAGGGTCCTTCCAAGATCATCCAGTCCAGCCCCCCTGCCATGGGCAGGGACAGCTTCCACTAGATCAGGTAGCTTAAAGCCCTGTCCAGCCTGACCTTGACCTGTAGAAAAGCACGAGCTTTCCTAACTCATGGGAAACTGAAGAGCCGAATTTGCCCTCTCAAATCAAACTATGATGGGGTGGCAGCTGCAGCAACGCGCCTGGGCTGAAGCCCTCTCCAAGGAAATGCGATTGCCGCAAAGCCCCCAGGAAGGGATGGAGGAGGTGGTCCAGGCAAGGGGCTCAAGAGACAAGGAATGCCTGCTACCTTCTTCTCTACCTTGTGCTGCCAGGGCACTGCTCAGCAGTGAGGAAGCCAAACGAGGTCAGCTTCAGTAAACGCAGCAAAATGAGAGGAGCCTCATCCAGCGCCATGGCTGACCCCCCTCTGCTGTCTGCTCCCCTGTCCAGGCTGCTTGAACCTCTCCCATGGCTTCCCTGCAGCTTGGTGATGTTAGACCATTCTCCCATATCTGGAAGTTCTCCTGGTTGCATTGCAAAGCTTGGAAAACCCTTGCTACCCTCAAATGGCTGCTGCAGGGCTGGCAGGTCTGTGTCCTCCTGCCGGCAGATGATCTCTGTAGGGGGGGATGCACTCCTGAGCCTGCACCCCAAAAGACCCTTCTGTGAGGATGGGGAGTCTTGGGAGAAGTCCCAGCAAGGTGGTGGCCTCTGGCATGGAGCTGCTCCCTCTTGCTCTGTGGGCGGGTGCTGCAGGGGGAAACCTCTTTTGACTTCTCTGCTGGTGCAGGTGCCGATGTCTTGCTCCTGCTGTGGCATTGAGCGCTCCCCCAGGTCGGCTGACAACCCCTCCCCTTGCTTCTCCCCTATGTCCAGCATGATGGGATTCATCTCCATCGCATGGGTGCCTTCATCTCTCCTACAATAGAAGGAAAATGGGTGAATTTGGGGCGTTCAGTCCCCAAACTGTTTGCCAATGCATTTCTTCCCCTAGGAGAAAGCTTTGGAGGTGTGTGTGAGTCGAAAGCCTGTGCCCCCTCTGGCCCTGCTGTGGTGGATTACACCCCGTTTCACCTAGGGGACCCTGTTCTCACGTGGGGCTGGGTGAAGGCAAGCTCCTTCACCATCCAGATGCTGGAGAACCTGAGCGGTGCTTTGCTTACAGACCTGCACAAGGGAGAAGCCAGGGATGCACTTGGGGACACATTGAATATGTTATCAAAATTCTCTTTCCTAGCTATATCAATTTTATACTATGAAAGTGTATTACTTTTGTTAATACTTATATTAATTCACATTATACACTATAATGTGATGACGGAATTAAGTTTTACTGGAGACTTTGGTATTATTGGTCATGCTTTTCTATGCGTTTGCTGTGCCTGTGTTGCGTGCCCCATGTTTGCACACATCTGTGTGTGATGTGTGCAGGTATATGCTGTACACATGTATCATGCTTGTATGCATCTTGGGCCATGTATGTGCTTGCCTGCAGATGCGTGTGCATGCTGTGAGTGTGTGTGCACATGGATTGTGCTGGTGTGTGTGCATGTGTGCTACCTGAGTCCCGCTCTGGGCTTGTGTTTGCTTGCATGCAGTTATTTGCCAGCGCGGGCATATGGGTACGTCCAACCAGTGTGTGTCCTTCTGATGGCCGCTGCTGGGTAACTCCACCTGCTCCTGCCTGCACAAACAAGCAAGGGGCTGGAAAATTTTGCTTATGACAAATGCTACAAAGGGAATTCAAGTTTTGGCTTGAAATAAGGATTTTTGAAAGCCACTGGCCAGCTGGGAAAGACTTTGCCCGTGGACTCTGGAAAAAGTTGGTAACCCAGAAGAGAGCTAGTCATGAGACCTGAGGATGTAATTGCAATTTTTATGTATTTTTTTAATAGCAAGGGCAGGCATTCAGAGACCTGGAGTCTGGGAAAAAGGAAGGAAGGAGTTTCCAGGTGGAAACTTCGGACCTAAACATGTAAGGGAGAGCAGATTGGGCTTCTTCTGCATGACCTTTGTACCATCACATGCCAAAGCCTGCAGGCATCTCCAGCGACATGGTGCCCGTGTCAAATTTCCAGTTATTCCAGCGGGGGAAAAAAAGCCTCGTTACGGGCTTCCAGTGCTGGAAAGTGATTTTTGGTGACTGCTGGTCCCTGCTGATGGCCATCCCCAGGCAGACATGGGTCAGGAGCACCAGGGAAGTGGGCACAAAGGTGGTGACGGAGCCTGGTCTCTACCATGGCCCGGCTCTGGGAGACCAGTGCCCTGCTGGCGTGAGGGCTGCGGAGGTGTGTGTGTGGGTGTGCGTGTTTGTGCGCATGGAGAGGTGTGGAGGTGTGCCTGGGTGCCTGTGGGGGACAAGGGGGTATGTGTGGTGATGCGGGGGGGGGCAGTGCATGTGCAGGGGGATGTGGGTACAGGGGTGTGTGCACAGGACAGCGGTTATTGGGTGTGCGCACAGGTGTGCACAGGGCTATGGGTACAGGGCAGCTCCGTGGGTGTGTCCAAGCCCTGGCCGGCTGCTCCCCTCTCTCCCCTTTCCAACCTGGACTTCCCTCCGTCCTTCCTCCCTTCCTCCTTCTCTCCATCCCTCCCCCCTCTGCTCCTCCTCCTGCCCCCCTGGCCTGGCAGCAGAGACTCCCCAGCGCCCGCTGTGCCTAGTGCTGCCTGCCCTGCGTGCCACGCTGCCAGCCAGTCTCTTCCAGCGCTGCCTGCTCTCCTCCGGCAGCGATCCTGGCCAGAGGGTTTGCCTGCCGGAGACACCTCTCTCCGGAGGCCAAGGAGCCAGAATTAATGCCGGACAAGCTGGCTGAGTTTTAAACACAGCAAAGCATTTCAAAACTCACAGGGAAATGTCCTACATCTCTGTAAGCATCACTCCTTGCTCCTATTCGCAAGGATTTTTCAGACCTTTTTATCCTTTGCTCCTCCCAGAGAGGGGGAAGGGAAAAAAGCAATTACAGATCTTAAGCTTGGATAAGCTTGCTGTTCCAGCAACCTCTTTTTTTCCCTTTATGGACAATTTTATAAGTGTCATGGTTCAACAGGACCTCGAGACCTGGCAGCAGCACGCTGACCCTGGATCATTTCCAATCAATCTTTTCTCCTGGCAGGATGAGATTAAAAAAGAAGGGAATGACGAGAGGAAAAACAACCTCCATCTCAGCCTGATTTTGGGGGTATTTGGAGCAAAGGGAGGTTCATTCTTCACATCTGACTCTGCCTGGGCTTCAAAACAGCATTTAAATTCTCTACGAAGCAGTTTTGTAAAAATTCCTTTTATTTATTCACCTAGTTGGAAGTCACTTTATTTTAACTCCCCATGGAAATGAGCTGCAAGGCATCAGAATGCTTTTCCTGGCCCGGGTAAACCTTTCACATGGGTTTCAGAGCAAGCACCAAGGAGCAGAGCAGACTTCAGCGAGATGAAGGTCAGGATTAAGGATCAACGTTTTTTTTTCTGTTTTCTTTTTGTCAGTGGTTCCAGCTTCCGTACAGTCAGCAGATTTTATCTTGGAATTTCTTGAATCTATTTTTTGTCCAAAAAGGCAAAAATAAAAAAAAATAATCCTGCGTATTCTCAGCTCCAGCAGCTGATTTCCCCTCACCTCCACGTCATAGCGCTCTGCTGCAGTCCGAGACTCTTTCTGTGAGCAACTGATGCAGAGTTCAAGCCGCCCCATGTCTGCGTGCAGTCCCAACGGCTGTCCTTGCTGAGAGCTTTTAAAAACACTGAGAAAATGGAAGAATTAAATTAAAAGAATTAAATTAATTGCTGTAATCTACACTGCTCTTCCTCTGGATTTTACGTTGATTCTCCCCTGTGCAAGCAGGGCTGGCTGGGAAGCATGGCACCCTGCTCCCAGGCCAGCTGAGGAGGCTGGGGGTATGCAGGGCTTCCTACAGGAAGAGGGAATGACGTCCTGCAGGACATCATTAATTTTCCAATTAGCAAAACTACTAACCACCTGTGCCTTGGGAAAGGAATTTGGGAGTGAGCTAAAAGATATGGAAGTGTTTGTGTAAGTAACGAACCATGGAAAATCAACGGCTCTAACCTTGAAGAGTTAACAAGCTGATAGAAGGGAACATCTTGACACCAAAGACTGGACAGCAGCCAGATCTGATAAAACTGCAGAAACTGGGTGAAAGGTAAATGCCACGAGGGGAGATTGTGACCACTGACTCAATTCAGGACTGAAAAGACTTGCCCCCCGACACCTGAAAGGAGCATGTGTGCTGATTTACATAGCAAGCGAGACTTATTTAAATATAGTTAACCAATAGTGTGTGAAATGTTAATCACTAACCAGTAAGTGTGGATTTAGGTGTGTTTATACTAATCATTTAACCTGATAAATATGTCGTGGTTTTGTATGACGGTGTGCTTGATTTGCGGAATTTCCACCGAGCACCCTGCGCAGAATAAAGCAATGTCGGCTCTCTAAACGGGACCTTGTCATTCGTTTGGAGGGTTTTCTCAATTACAAGCAAAAGGAACAGGGTGTATTTTGCTCAGTGTTATCCCTGCTGCATTTCTGGCAGCAGTTCCTTGCAAGTTTTTCACAAAGCCTGTGCGATCCCCGCAGCTGCCTGGAGTTTCAAAACAGCATTTGCCATTTCCAAGCTCAGGCAGGATGCAACCATCTATCTAGAAAGCCACTGCTGCCCAGAGCAGTCCTGGCACTGATGAGATACAAAAACTCACAGCACAGAGGCAGACAAATTTATTTGTAGTTTGATTTCAGAGGGGATCAGAAAAGAGACTGTTGTGTCTCAGGAAGGATAAACATAAGCATGGGCCAGTTCTGAAATGCTGCCAAAGGGAGGTGGTACGGAGACATAACGGGACTGTAGCAAAGCACCTCCCAAGGTATTGATGCATCCCAAACTGCTGCGACACAATCCCTGTTTTTGCCCTTCTGCCTTTCCTGTACGGAGCGGGACCCTCGCACGCAACTGCAAATATCCCTGCTCAGCCACGCTGCCATTGCTAACAATTGCGGGCGGCAGCAGCCAGCACCTTCTCATCTTGCACAGATCCAGCACACTGACCTTCAGACTTTCTTCCTTGGTCCTTTAAATCCTCGAGTGGCACCTTGTCCAAAGCAAATTGTGGGTGGGATCCTGGAAAGGGAGACACACTTTGATACACATTAACAGTCCACCTCTCACAGGATCACCGGGACACTTTATGCCTTGTGTAGCATTTCAAACTCCCAGAGTGGGAAGAGCAAGGTATTGGAGGAGCAGGACATCTAAATCACCAAAGTGTACCTCAAAAAATGCATGAAATACTGCTCCACTTTCCCATTTATTCTGCACATTTCATTTATGTTCTGGAGGCCTCTCCTCTCTTTACAACCAGGTGTAGCATGTTACAAAATGTAGTATGCCATTGGGCAGTTGCAATGGTTTGTTGTGGAAGCACATGATCGTGAAGAGCAGAAGAGCAGAATGAGCAGTACAAGTGTGGCCTTTTGACAGCAAATTTTCCTTTTGACCTGCAGTATCACATCAAATTCAAGGGACAGTTTCTCTCTGGTTTATAAGCTGTTACGCTGGACAAAGCAGTGAAGTTTAAAATGTCACCGTGGTAGCTGCAAACTCAAACCACAAGAATCCCTTTGCTAAGTGGAATAGTTCAGGCAAAACCATATTAATCTTAATGCTGAGAGATGATCAAAATAATGAATAAAATGACACCAATTTGGGTGCTGGGAAGAAGGTGGTGACCTTTTGATGGCTACCTTGTATTTCATACAGGTTTTACAGCACATGATGAGGGGGATTTCAAAAGTCAAGCCAGCCTTAGGCAATTCAGTTTCAACTTTTAGTAATGATTTTAAAAAAAGAAAAACAAACAGAAAAATGAGAAAAGATGCTCTGGCCTTGCAAAACCTAAGATTCAGAGCAAGACGTTTACCTGCTTTATTTGTGCCTTGTCCTGTGACTGCATGGGAGCACAGACAGTTACAGTGAAACGCATCAGCTCAGTCCTGAGTCAGCTAGGATGGGAAAGTGTTACAAAGCAGGAACGAAACTTGTTTGAGTATTTTAGGACAGAGTTCTTATCTTCAGACCCATGCCATTCTGCAATACCCTGGGAAGAGATCATGGGCAGGCAGACTAACAGAAGCTTATTGACACGGCTTTCACAGTGTACGCATGCTCTGTCCTTCCTTATGCTTTCCTCTTTTAAAAATGGCTTTTCAAACATACATGGAAATCCTACCTCTTTTATCTTCAACACAGAAACACCTTAAGCCATGCTGCAATAGGCACTGCAAAATGCAATTAAGATGATATGGTCCCAGCCCCAGAAGTTTTTGCCTGCAGACGCCAACAGTACAGACCTGGATTTATTGAGTTGTTTCTCTGGCCCCGAGGGGCCGGGGCTGGCTGCAGGCAGAGGGATCTCCATGTTCTCGCTGGGCCCTATTTCCATGGAGTCTACCTGGAATTGCTCCGACATCTCTGTGCTCACATCCATCGGCACACTGGCACCCTGCTTCGTGGGAGAGCTTGCGTGCTTGGGGCCACTGCAGAGAGAAAATTTTACATCCTTTCTCAGCAGCTGTCACATAAGTGCAGAGCAAAGGAAATGAAAGGTGTTTCATGATGAAACAGGTCAAGTCCAACTTGCGTGAGTTACTGCATGGAGGCACAGATATTTGGCTGCACAAACCACCGGGAGCAGCCAAAAGGCTGCTGGAGAGCTGCGCGATAGGCTTCTATGAGTTTCTACTTAAGTATTCAGGGTTGCTGCATTATAGCACACAGCTTTGTCCTCAGATTCTTTCCTTCAGTCCATAAAGCGCAGCTCATTCAATGGGCTTGATTCCCTGAGAGGGCTGTCCTTTAGCTGACCTACTGATGCCATGCTGCAGCCAAAGGCGACCGTTAGCTTTTCATCCCTGGCTAAGGCGTCAGCAGCATTTGTGGTCAGCAGTTTCTTTCTTCCCTAAATGCCAAGTAACTTTAGTAGTAGGCAGCTGGCCCTGCTTGCAAAGTCTTTAACCAGCTCTTCCCTTTACAGCCTGGCGTACCCTGAAATGGTTGGAGCAGAACACGTTTCACCTTTCGTTACCAGACTTGCCCCGAGAACATTATGCTGTGATGTGATGGCAGCGGCTGACAGCCTCTCAAGTCCCCTCACTGCTTCTGTAATCAGCTGTTTCCACGTCCAGAGCTGCCTTACATCACTTCTAACCATTGACACACAGAAAGGAAAGAAGTTCTGAAGATCTCCATATCTGAGCAGCGGGTTGGACTAGAGGGTCCACATCTTAGCTAGACCAGGCTACCCAAGCAAGCTTTGGAAGACTCCACAGACCCAATCCCCTGTCCCTTTGGGCACCCATCCCAGGGCCACACCACCCTGCCAGGCAAGAAATTTTCTCTCTATCCCATCACCCAGGTCTCTGAGGAAGGTGTTAAACAACATCAGTCCTTGTATTAATCCCTGTGGTGAAAGCAGTGCTTGAAGTGAGTGGCCAGCTGAGAAAGCCATTCGCCAAACTTACAAAGCATCCCTCTGCTCTACTTGTGCTTTTTGGGAATGGGAATATTGCAAAGGGTTGGAGGGCAAAGCAAGAAACATGCACAAAACAACGCAGAGAGATGCTGGGCTTTGCATTTACACTTGAGACGATATGAAGGGAGTGGAGCCTGGAGCCACACGAGGAGAGAAATAAGACACGCTTCAACATTCGAAGTAAAACATTGCCACAGAAAGCCTTGCAAGTTTACCTGTTCTTACAAGCAGCAGCAAACGTCATTTCTGAGCCTCTTAGGATATAAACTTGCTTCCTTTGGGAAGGGAGTGAGACAGCAGAGAAGCACATCACCTCTACAGGGGAAAACCAGTTGTGCTATTGCAGTTCTGCAGTTACCTTTTCACTTTCTTCGGTCTATCAAACCGGAAGTCAGCAGGATAAAGGTGAACAGTGACCAAGTGATCCTTTCTGTCCCTGCTGCTCTTGAACTTCTCCGCACAGCCTTCTACCAAACACTTGTACTGAAAGGCAGGAAAAAAAAAAAAGACACAATTGGAAAAGGCAAGCGGTGTCAGCTGGGAACATGGGTGCCCTCCCCGAACAGTCAGTCTCTAAGGACACCGTGCATAGCAACCCCGAGCGAAGGGCTGGGCACAGCGACTCACCATGTTTTGCTTCTCGGCCATTATCTGGAAGAGGGAGTCGTGCCACTCTAAGATGTGAATATCCAAGAGAGGCCCTGATGGAAAGGAGCGCTTGCAGAAGGAGCAGACATTCCTGTGCAGTGTGTTGTAGTGGTGCTCATAGCCCTCCAGTGTATCAAAGACCTGGCAGCACCCAGAGATGTGGCAACTGAATTCTGACACCCTGCAAGCAAATGAGGACGTCCACAACTTAAATTAAATTAGGGCCTTAATTTATACTGCATATGTCCCTCTAGGTGACTTTATTTACTTCTGGCATTTTTTGTGAATAATACATAAATTAAATGAAAGGCACAATGGAATGCAGATTACGATGGTACTGGCAGTTGGAAACTCTTATTTGCTGTTATGGCTTAAGCATCATATATATTATCATTCTCTGAAGTGGTGCTTCAGTTAAGAATAAACGCAAAGCAGCAATGTGAGAAATAAGCTGTTCGACCTTAAAGTTGCAGCTATGGATTAAAACTTCGTGCCAACGCTGTTTAACAGGCATCTGTAGGATAACCTCACACAATCCTCAAAGTAATTCTTCAATTTTATATACAAGAGCAGGTTTTAGAGCAAGATGAAGATTCTCCCCCAGGCTTAGCCTTCCTAATCAGGGCTGTCTGTACCACACAGCTCCCCCACTGTTTTGACTGGGTATATAATAACCTGCCACTTAAATCCTCTTATTTAGCTACAGTCCCAATTTTGAGACATATTTCAGATGCCTTATCTGCTTATGGGGAACTCTCAGTGAAACGACATCATGTCTAGCAAGCACAAGAAGTCAGTATTCAGACAGACAGCTGACTGCAACACAAAATACCAATTTTTGACCTTTTCAGCAAGCAGGACGTTGAGGTTTGCAAACTATATCACCTCATTTTCCTTTTCAAACTGTTTTGCAATGCATCTGGATGTTCTCCCTCTTATTTCTCCTCCTTGGACTCTAAAGTCCATGGACAAGAGGAACGGCACCCGACCCAGCCTCGTGCCCATACAATGCGAGCAGGCAGGGTTCATGCCAACGGTGCTGCACACCAACACGATGCATGGAGCAGGACACATGAACTAAGAGGCACACCTGGGGCCATCGCGATGCCAGGGTGGTGTGCCAGCCCTGCCTCACTTACTTGGGTCTCTCTGCCACCTCCGCGAGGCTGGTGAGGACGCCCTGGAGGTAGAGGTGCCTGTGAACGTCCCCATCCTAGGAGAAGAGGAGAAAGAGGCCGTGGGCAGGCAGGCCTGCCGCCACGGGGCACACCTTCTCCACAGAGACAGGCCGCGCTGGGAGAGGCCCGGGGGGGGCGCTCTGAGAGAACACGGCCGTTGCTTTCCACACAGACCGGGCCCGCAGGCCCAGACCCGAGGGGCTCGCTCAGAGCAGGGAGGTCCCAAG